AGGAGGAGGAGGAGGAGGAGGAGGGGAGAAGGAGGAAGGGGAGAAGGGGAGGAGGAGAGGAGAGAAGAGGAGGAGGAGGAGGAGGACGAGGAGGAGGAGGAGAAGGAGGGGGAGGTGGGGGAGGAGGAGGAGGAGGAGGAGCAGGAGGGAGAGGAGGAGGAGGAGGAGGACGAGGACGAGGAGGTGGAGGAGGAGGAGGAGGAGGAGGAGGAGGAAGAAGAGGAGGAGGAGGAGTCCTCTCAGGATCAGGGGCGGACGGGTGCCGGGTCCTGCGCGCGCGGCTTTGGGCCGCCCGCCCCCTCCCCCCCAGGCACGGGAGCCTGGTGAGCGCGTGCAGCGCCGCCTCCTCCAGGCGTGCTTCCTCGCCCCACCGCAGGAGCAGGGAGGGAGGGGGTTCTTTTTTGTTCCCAACCCTCCTTGATTGGGTACTCGTTGTGAATAGAGCGCTGCTCGCGCGTCCTTTCTTCCTTCCTCCCGCCTCCTCCCTCCCGCCTCCTGTCTCCCGCGAGACCTCGCCGTCCCTGGAGGGGGGGCTGCCATCTGCGAAACTGTCGCCACTTTCCAAGGCTGCTGGTGCGCTCGCCACTGTCGAAGGCGGCTGGTGGGTCCAGCGGAATGAGTCACTGCGCAGACCTGAGCGGGGCCTCGCCGTCCTTGGGGGGCCATGTCATGTTGTTGCTGCCCCGCCGACGTTTCAAGCCCCTTGCCCACCGTCTCCTTTTGGACCTTGCGTCTTCCTTAGTGACTCAGGGGGTCACTTCGTTACTCACCGTGTTTCCCTTGATTGGGGACCTGCGAGCCTTCCGAATGTCGTTTGCAGAAATATATGCGTCCGTGTCACGTCGCCGCCTTCTCGTCAAATCTCCCAAGCTACTGCTGCCCCGAATTGCGCAGGGGTTGGGTACGTTGCCAGGGTAATTTCTCCTGCTCGAGGAGGAGGTGGAGGAGGAGGAAGAATGATGGTGATGGTGATGGTGATGGTGATGATGATGATGATGATGATGATGATGATGCTGATGATGATGATGATGATGCTGATGATGATGATGATGATGATGGTGGTGGTGGTGGTGGTGGTGATGATGATGATGATGGTGATGATGATGATGATGATGCTGATGATGATTCTGATGCTGATGCTGATGCTGATGCTGATGCTGATGCTGATGTGATGATGCTGATGCTGATGCTGCTGCTGATGAGGTGGAGGGGAGGAGGAGGAGGAGGAGTAGGAGGAGGTAGGAGGAGTAGGAGGAGGGAGGAGAGGAGGAGGAGGGGAGGAGGAGGAGGAGGAGGAGGAAAGGGAGGAAGAGACGGGGAGAGGGGAGGGCCCCAGGAGGACGAGGGAGGGGAGGGACTACCCAAGGATTACCCCAAGCTGACTCTGGCAGACCATGAGGCAGGGAGGGGAGCGGGGGGAGGGGGAGGAGGGATTACACGAGGATAACCCAAGGATTACCAAAGGATTACCCCAGGAGGAGGGGAGGGATTATCCAAGGATTACCCCAAGCTGACTCTGACAGACCATGAGGCAGGGGGGGACCGGGGGGAGGAGGGGGAGGAGGGAAGGGGGGGCCAGGACACGGGAGGAGCCAAGGCGGGGGAGGAGCCAGGGTGGGGGGTTTGGCGGCTCCGTGGTCGCCGTCGCCGCTTCGTCACCGCCCGTCGTCTGGGCCTGGGTGCCGGTCTGGCGGCTCCGTGGTCGCCGTCGCCGCTCCGTCGCCACTTAGATAGCACCAGATAGTTTGCACCACACATTCTGCACAACATAGATTGCACAGCATAGATTGCACCACACATATTGCACGATACAGATTGCACCACATATGTTGCACAACATCTATTTCACGACGCACGCTGCAAAGCAGATGTTGCACATCACATACCCAACTCGTAGATGCAGCGCAGATGTTGCTCCACATCGGCTGAATAACACAGATTGCCAGGAACACACCTTTTGGGGCCTCCACGCTGGCTGCCACGCTGAGAGCGAAGCGCTGGGATGGTCCTGGTGCATCGCCTGGCGCGGGACGCTGCCGATCCGCAGTGGAACTCGGCGTTGCACGCGCCTCTTGTCACGGAGGGGGGGGGGCTGCGGAGGAGCAGGCGCAGGCGGGCGACGCTTCCGCGAGGCAGTGGGCCATGCGCGAGCCCACGCTGCGAAACCGCCGGCCGTCGACGCACCCGGCCGGCCACGCGGGCGCCCTCTTGCGGACACGCCAGCGTCCGTCTCGACGCGGGCAGCGTCTGTCCCTCTGGCCCGCCCCCATGCCCTCGCTCTCTCTCCTCGCCCTCCCCGCGCCCACGTGTTCCTCTCCCGCCGCCGCTCTCTGCCTCCCCCCCCCCCCCGCTCCCACTTCCCGTGCCTCCCCTTTCCCCTCCCTCCCTCTCTCAGGAGGGAGAAAAACACACACAGACACAATTAGTCGTCGACCCCAAGGAAACTATGGGAACATGTGGGAAGGGGGGGGGGAAGACAAAAACCCAGAAAGTATACGAAAATATATGGAATCCTGTTATTTGTGTGTAGTTCTTTGTGTGTCCTGGGGCCCCTTCACTCTCCCCAGCCTGAGCTCCCCCATCCTTCTTTTCATCCTCCCTCTCCACTGTCTGCCTGCCTGCCTGCCTGCCCGCCTGCCTGCCTGTCTGTCTTTCTGTCTGTCTGGCTGCCTGATTGCCTGCCTGCCTGCCTGCCTGCCTCGCTCTATTCCTCTCTCTATTCCTCCCGCTTTCTTTCTCTCTCCCTCTCTCTATATCTCTTTCTCCATATATATACATATATATATACATATACATATATATACACATATATATGTACGTATGTATGTATGTATGTATATATATATATATATATATATATATATATATATATCAGCCTCGCGATTCCCCACCTCCCGCCTTCTTTCTCCCCGCTTCCGCATCCGCGGGAGGAGAAGAAAGAAGATGAGGAGCTGGAGTTGAGGAGGAAGACGCAGCGGAGGATGAATGGTGGGAGGGTGGAAGAGCGCCTCGACGTCCTCTCTCCCCCTGCCTCTTCTGGAAACCTGCCGAAACCTGCCAAACCACTAAATGACCTTCTTCAAGAACTTGGCGAGGATTGCTTTCAATCCTGGAGCCTGCTGTGCATCGCGGAAACATGCTGATTATGTCTTTCCTTTTTTCCTATATCCAACATGATCAGGAAATGTCCGATACATTCCGAATGTATACTTCTCTTTCCCGCTCACCCCATCTCTCCCCCCCAGAGGTTCCCCTCCTGTCTCCCTCCTGCAGGACGACCCCTGGACCCCTTCTAGGACGCGCCATTGACCGGGATCTCGAGGTAGCTGGTGGCGGTGAGATCCCGCCAGAAGGATCCCCCCCAAGAAGAGCCAGACACATCGCAACCCGCCCCCCGCCACCTTCTCCCAAAGGACCCGAACAGAGACAGCTGGGCACATCGCAATCCTGCCCCCTGCCACCTTCTCCAGAATGCCCCCCCCCCAAGACAGCCAAACACCTCGCAATCCTCCCCCCAACAACTCCAGAAGCCCCCTCCCCACCGAACGGCCAGGCACGGCGCAGGCCTCCCCCCTCTGCCCTCCCCGCTCTTCTCCTTCCTCTTCTCCCCAGATAGCTGACGCCGTTTTTTTCACAGCGTGGCGTCTCAGAGGTCTGGCTCCTTCCCAGGGACTGGCTTTTCATCCTGTGCCGCTTTTCCACGGTCTTCGGGACCGGTCAGGGCCCCCGCCGAATACGGCCAAAGGACCTCCCTCCGAGGAGGGAATTTATACATGATCACCGCCTGGAGGGTCTGTTTTTGGAGCCTCGACAGGCGATGGATATGCACAAATTCGGACCCCCAGGGGCCGAAGTATATCCATATCCACCGCCCGCTGGGGCACCAGGGCGTCGGTTCCCAGGCGGTGGATATGGATATGGAGGAATCCCCGCCGCGCACTCCCGCCGTTTACGGCGTGTTGCTCTGATGATCAGTTTTTGGCCATCCGCCCTGGGCGTGGCGTTTTCTAGGCATGCGGACGCATTCGGTTCCCTTTACTCCTCCCTGACGTCCTCCCCCATCCGCCCTCCTCGTTTCTCTGTTCGGCATGTGCGAGAAAGGTTGGGCCCCCTTCATCAGCTGGGAAGCTGGCAGTGTTCTCATCATCGAGGGTCTGCCCAGGAGACAAAAAGCAACTCCCGTCGTAGTTTGTTTCACGAGGCGAGGATGTCAGGGGAGGAGGAGGCAGGAGAGGAAGGTCGAGGAGGAATAGGAGGAGGACGAGGTGGAGGAGGAGGAACAGGAAGAGGGTGCGTCAGCGATGCCCCCCTGTCCCACCGTCCCCTGGGGCCCACCCTAGATCTCCGACGATTTGATCTTATAATCTGGGCGTTTTTCCTCGATTTCTGCCACTGGGGCCCATTACTGTAGGCCTCCCAGATGAGTCCGAGTATATGGGGTTGGAGGATCGCGCCGCGTCGCCGATGTACCTGCGATGCGGCTCGATGTGGAGCCCGATTTTGGCCACGCCGACGTTTCCGATGCATCAGCGATGCGGCACGATCCACCGACCCCATCTACTCGGGCAGGACGAGGATAGATCCGTTCCAGAGCGTTCCCCGGAGCGCTCTCAGAGCGTTCCGGAACGCTCTGAGAGGGCCGCGGTGTCCGAAACATCCTCCAGAGCCGCCAGATCTCAGAGATTCTCGATGTATCCCCACCCGATGTTTTCCTTGTCCTGGCCTCGTCTTGAAGGGAGGGGGACGAGAAGGGAGGACGACGAGGAGCGAGGGAACGAAGGGGGACGAGTAGGAGGAGGAGGAGGAGGAGGAGGAGTAGGAGGAGGAGGAGGAGGAGGAGGAGGAGGAGGAGGGGGAGGGAAGGGGGAGGGGAAGCAGGAGCAGGAGGAGCGAGGGGGAGGCATTTGTCCTCACCCGATGTTCTCCTCCTCCTGGCCTCGTCTCACCGTCCAGGAGGACTCCACCGGCCCGGCCCCGCCCGCCCCCCCGCCCGCCGCCAGTGCGCCCGCCATTGACCTCAACGACCTCGGCTCCGGGCCCGGCCTGCAGACGCTCGTGGCGGGGCGCGAGGGTCAGAGGCCGTTTCGGGATCCCGCCAATGGGGTGTGTGCTCCGGGGTGTGTGTGTGAGTTCGGTCGGCTTTCGCACCCAGACATGCTCGCGTCGTAGAAAAATCCGGACGACAGTTCTTCCCTATTTTTTCTGCCCCTGGGGGCCCTCGCGGGGCCCCGGGACTGTCAAAAACGATTCAGGACGAAAAACCAGTCCCGGGGAAGGGGTCGGGACTTCCAGTGACGCCGTCTTGAAAAAAAAAAGACGTCGCATGTCTGGGCGCCGAACCGCCCAAAGGATATGCCCCCAGCTGCCGGCAGCTCCCGATAGTTGCCGATAGGTGGGGCATGCGGGGGGCGTCTGTTTGCGGCAGTTCGGTGCACCAGCGGATCGAACTAATGCCCCCCCTGAGGGTCACCCCTTCTTTGGTGGATCCCGAGCTTCGCCATTGGGCAAGCTCCAGGCCTCCCAGACGGCGTCGGAGTAGTTGGGGTCGGAGGATCGAGCCGCATCGCCGATGCATCGCCGATGCGGCTCGATGTGGAGCCCGATTTGCTTCACGTCGACGTCTCCGATGCATCGCCGACGTCGGCGATGCGTCGCGGATGCATCGCCGACGTCGACGATGCGTCGAATAGGGGGTCGACTACATAATAGATTTACTCCAAGACTGATCTTCCCGCCGAGTTTCAAAGAAACGCGTGGGATTCTCCGAGGTCTGCGGGATATCGTACGCATCTGTTTCGTAGATTCGGCGGGGAAATCAGTTCTTGGGGTACTGCAGTCGATCCCCTACTCGAAGGCTTCGCCATGAGGGAGGAGGAGGGGGACGAGGAGGAGGAGGAGGAGTCGGAGGAGGAGTCGGAGGAGGGGGAGGAGGAGGAGGAGGAGGAGGAGAAGGAGGAGGAGGAGGAGGAGGAGGAGGAGGAGGAGGAGGAGGAGGAGGTCATGAGGTTTTGTTTTTGCGGTCTTCCGGCTCTCGGGGCCCCACACGGGCCCCGGGACTGGCCGAAGGCGGCGCGGGAGGAAGAGCTCGTTCCCATGGGGAGGGCCCCGGGGGTCCGGGGCCTCGTTTCCCTCCAGGACCCGCCCTCCCCCGTGCGAGAGAGAATCATCGAAGGTCTCGCGGCGCGCAGTGCTCTGTACGGGTGAAGTCGTATAGGTACTCACCGGTCGCTGAAAGTAGGTATTTCTAGATTCCCGGATCCCAGTCTACTTCAAGCGCCTTCCTCGTTCAAGAATCGGCATGCTTTTGCTGTGTTTTGTCATTCCCTGGGGGGGCCTGGACCCTGGACCCAATCCACTTTATCCGCCTTCCTACTTCATGTTTTTACCTACTTCTTCCGACCGACGTGTAGTTTCTGCACCAGACGAGGTGTGCAATTCTTGGCCGCTTCAGGCAGCTCCAGCTCCTCGCGTGTGCTGCAGCTCCTCACGTGTGTCTTGTGTGTCGTGTGTTGCGCACGTGTATCTTGTGTCTTACTGCCCGTTCTTGCGTGCCAGAGGCTCAGCCACTCCGCAATGAGAGGTGCTATGTCGTGGTCCTGTCCGTTCCCTCGTCCCCCTCAACAAATAGCCTGACGAAGGACCCAACCAGATGCAGCTGCGAGTATTGCGAGACAGGTGAGAAGAAGGGTTGAGGGGGCGACATGGGCGGCGGGACGCATGTGTTTCCTGCCAGTGCGGGATTCGGTGGAGCTTCCTGTTGGGCCAAGAACCGTGTGAGGGGCGTGCCAAAATGAGCTTGGTGACGCGTGCGCTTCCTGCCACTGCGGCCTTCGGTGGAGCCCCCTATGTGGCCACGAAGTGTATGAGGGGAGTGCCAAAATGGGCGGGGGGACGCATGTGATTCCTGCCACTGCTGTCTTCGGTGGCGCTCCCTTTTGGGCCCCGAAGTGCGCGAGGGGCGTGCCGCTCCCTATGGGGCCTCGGAACGATGAGGGGCGTGCCTAAATGGGTTGGGGGGGCGCATGTGATTCCTGCCGCTGCGGCCTTCGGTGGAGTTCCCTATGGGGCCACTAAATTTTTGAGGGGCTTGCCAGCATGGGCGGGGACGTGCGTGTGATTCCTACCACTGGCGCCTTTGGTGGAGCTCCCTGTTGGGCAAAGAAGCGTGTGAGAGGTGTACCAAATTGGGCCTGGGGACGCGCGTGATTCCTGCCAGGCCTTCGGTGGAGCTCCCTATTGGGCCGCCAAGCGTGTGTGGGACGTGCCAACATGGGCGGGAGGGGGGGGGGGGGCATGTGATTCTTGCCACTGGGGCTTTTGGTGGAGCTCCCTTTGGAGTCGCGAAACGTGTGAGAGGTGTGTCGAACTGCACGTGGGGACGCATGTGATTCCTGACACTGCGGCTTTCGGTGGAGCTCCTGACGGGGCCACGAAATTTGTAAGGGGTGCTGGCGATGAGGATGCGAGGAGGGCGGAGGCAGGAGGAGGGAGGAGGGCCAGTGCAAATCCAAGACTCATCAACGATGTTGAAATGCAAATGCACCCTCCCTACAAGATTCCTCGTCACAGGCCCTTCAGAGGCACTTGCCCCGTTCGGGGACAACCGTGTGAACATTTTGAAGCCTGCCAAATCACCATTCTCAGGATTGCAAAGCCACCTGTTACGTCCTGGTGATCCTGAATCGTGCCAGAGCACCATTCCTGGGACTTCAACACCACAAGTCAACATAACTGTTGCGCCCTGACAGCCCTGAATACCTCCAAGACATCAGTTCTGGTACTGACGCTCCAAGACGTCAAACTCTTTCCATCTTTTCTGGATACAGGAATTTGCGCGGCGCTGAGGCGAGAGCCACATTTTGAAAAGGAAGCGTCTTCAATCCGTGAAGTTCCCGCAAATGTGAAAACGGATGAGCGCAGCGCTAAGGCGAGAGGCACATGTTAAAGACCGCCCGCCGTCAGTCCGTGGAACTCGTCCGAATATCTGGAAAGGATGCGCGCGGCGCTAAGGCGAGAACCACATTTTGATAGCGAGTCGCCGTCAATCCGTGGAGCATATGCAAATCAGTGAAACGAATGTGCGCGGCGCTAATGCGAGACCACATGTTGAAAACGACCCGCCCTAAATTAGCGAAATTCTAATGATTTAAACTCATGCGCGCGGCGCTAAGGCGAGAGTCACATCTTGTAAACGACCCGCCGTAAATCCGTAAGCTTTTCCTGATGTTTTGAACGAATGTTCGCGGCGTTGAGGCGAGAGCCACATTTTGAAAACCACCCGCCCTCCATGTGTGGACACCTTGTCAACCCCGAAGCATCAGGGTCATAAGTGTTGAGGAAATCTCAGGCGAAACGCCCGGTCCGCCTGTTCGAACGGCCTCGGGGTGCGAAAGGGAGGAGTTATCTATAAGTAAAAGGAATGGAGGGTGAAGGAGGAGGCGGAGGAGGAGGCTCTCCAGGACGAGGGGTGAATGTGTGGCGCTGCGGGTTCAACACGAGGACCGTCCACCACAGGATGGTTGGGACAGGGCTGACCTAAACGCTGTTTTGCTGGACTTCGGCTGTGTTTTGTTTTTCATGTTGGCAGGGGGGTACAGGACAACGGGCAGAGCAAAACGAACAACCAAACGAAAACAAAACGAACAACAACGTTTAGGTCCAGCCCTGGGTTGGGAACAAAAGAGAGAGCATGCTGAGGGCCGCCCGCTCCTCACGGGTGGCTCGAGCATCGAGGGTCGACGAGATACTGTGCGATTCTCAGCGTTTTGCGGGGCAGTTTGTCGGGAGGGGAAAAACACGCACAGACACAAGTAATCGCCGACTCCCAGGAGAATAGGGGAACATGTGGGCAGTGGGGGGGAAGACGAACATCCAGAACATGTTGGGAAAGATGGGGCATACAGTTATTTGTGTGTATCTATTCGTGTGTGTCCTTGGGCCCCCTTGAGCTTGGAAGGGCCTGGGGCGGTCCTCCTCGGAGGCGGCGTCCCCCCTGGCGGTGCCCCCCTTTTGGCGCTGCTCGGCAGGCGGGGGGAGGAGGGTCAGATCCGCCGCGGCGGCAGATGGCGCTTCCGTGCGTGGGCCTCCCGGTCTTAAGTCGGGCCTGTCCCCCTACAGGGGGGATTTTCGACGAAAAATAAAACATACCCCAACAATAGTCAAAACATAGTCCAAAAATAGTCGGGGGATGATTTTCGAGTATTTTTGTTTACCTTTTTGGGGTACTTTTTCGTCGGAGATCCCCCTGTAGGGGGACACGCCCGACATAATCCTGGTCACCACTCGCGTTCTTGTGAGCTTGTCGATCGCAGGGCAGGTCTGGACGAGGCTGAACGTTAACGCCTCCGGCCGCTCTGCTGGCCCGCTTCCTGGCTCCCCTCCGCCTCCCGAGGGAGGGGGGGATCCTGGGCTCAGGATCGGTGTGCACGGTCCCCTGTCCAAGCCATGGGGGGGCGCTCTTGTCGAACGCAGCGAAGGGAGAAGGGCGGCCGAACTATTCTCACGTGAAGGTTGGCGACATGAACATTGAGACAGTTCCGTACGAAGGCGAGACACAATATCGTGGGCGACGTGTCAGCTTCGATCGGCCTCATGCAGTAGAAGTTGCACACAGGATCAACATGGCTTGGAAGAGTTTTTTTGTCGGCGCAGAGAAGCAGGCTAACCAATGAAAGGTTTTCGCTCAATTCACGCCTGCGGCTCTTAGACGGTACGGTGTCCAATGTGTTTTTGTATGGAAATGTTGTTGTGGTATTGATTCAGGAGATGACAGACCGAGTACGCCGAGTACAACGGGAACTGCTCTTGATGGTACTTGGTTGCCGTCGTCGGAGCTTCGTCGGTGAGGGCACCTTGTGAAGCACATCGTCAACCTCGTCTGACTCTGATTCGTCATCTGGCGAGTCTTCAGATGTAGAGCCTTGGGCGGTGTGGTTTCAGAGAGCTGCACGAGAATTGGAGGAACGCCGTCGCAAGTTACATGTTCGCGATCGGGTCGAAGCCCAGACGAGCGCAGCGTCGACGTGGCTCAGGCAAGTGCAGAGGAGAAAGACTCCTGG